CGGCTGCGTGGTGCTAAGTTGCTGGCTGGGGCTAAACCATGGCACCCGTGGAGCTGCCATCTGAAGGATGCTACAGCCCATGGCACACCCTGACGCTGGGCTTGCAGGGACGCCTGCATGCCTTGTGCTCATCTTGTACCGTGTCCCTTCAGCTGTCTCGCCACTGCTGAAGGTGCAACCGCTGGTTTCTGTATCACTCTCAGCCTCGATGACTCTATCAAGATGTTCTTACCCCTTCCAGACAAAAGCTGGCAGCCTGTATGGCTGCAACAGGACCTTTGACAGTGGATCCTGCAGTCCAGTCACTTGCTCCTTCTTCCACAGAGCCAAGCCTGTGCCCATGAACGACAGCACAGAGGTAAATAAAGACCAGTAATTAGAAATCACCCAATAAATGCAATAATTCCTCTTGTTCAGCATCTTTTGCTCCAGCTCAGCCCATAGGTACTGAAGCCCAGGACAGGATCCAGCTTGAGCCACTCTTACAAAGCCTCCTTGTGAATGGCTACTGCAGATATAGAAATATTTACTATAATAAACACCTCAGTAATGTCTTAAATATAATACTTCTCCTCTAAAAGACTGCAGCAGCCCTCAGTGGCCCCAGCCACCCCCAAAACCCAAGAGCAGTACCACAGATCCTCTACCTGGCAGGAAGCAAGGAACCAGACACTGCGGTAATCTTTTGCATAGGCCGGTGAACATCCTTTTGGATTGGGCATAGTCATTCCTCCCACACATGCTGGCGAAGCGGAAATTGCCGTAAAAGTAGTTAAAGCCAAAGGCATCTGTGAGACATGAGAAGAAAGGGCTGATGTTTGGCCAGTTGCATTGGCCATGCGATGCCAATGGGCAGCGGGGGTCACGCTTCTAGGCTGCCCTTTGGGTCTTGGGGTAACACTTACTGTTTCTGTACAGGAAAAGGGCAGTGTCCTGGTACCCTTGGGAGAAAATGTCATTCAAGACCTGCAAGGAGAAACACTTGAGGTCACTAAAGAGCCCTCCATCTGGGCACTGGCAGGATCTATCCGAGGCTGTTTGACAGTGGAGGGTTGGGATGGCCCCTTTGGGAAGGCAGCAAGCACAGGCTGGTTTCCCAGCACCAAAGCACTGGTGGAGCCCATCCCAGGTTGGCCACCCATCAGCACTGTCCACCAAAAAAATGCACTGCCCTTGAAATCTGATTAAGTAACGATGGAGACTGAGCTGAACCTTGAGGTTTGGGAAAGCAGGTCCAGCATTAATTTGTTTTAACCAAAACAAAGCTGGGAAGAAGACCTGGTGGGCTTACCATGGTGCTAGGTGGAAAGAGAGCATAGCTAATCCTGCAGAGGTTTTCTATTGAGATCTGAATGCTGCCATTGAAGATCTGGAAACAGAAGAAGATAGCGGGACAGTCCCGCGGACAGATATCGAGCTCTCCCGTGAATGGAGACACAGTGATCACAGCTTCTTCCAAGCTGGAAACAGGCTGCAGGTTGGTGAATCCTCCATCAACGTATCGCTGCGGGGGAAGAGCAGAGACATGTTTGCTTTGAGGATTGCTACAGCGTGTGTGCGAGGGCAGCGTCACCAAGAGGAAAGCAAGGAGCTGCACGGGCGACATCTCCCGCCGCGAACCAGTCTCAGCATGTCCTCTCTTCCCCCTTGCAACAGCATCTCTTCCCACCCCTTGCTCTTAATCCTGGCCTTTGCCAGTTCCTCCTGCTGCCCTGCCTACAGCACCCAGCGAGCTCCTCGACCAGGTGCTGTAATCCACAGCAGCTATTAAAATAGAAATATAATTATTTTAATTCACAAATCTTTGTAAAGTTTTTTTGGCAGTCATTAGCCAATTCAAGCATCACTGAATTCGCAATGTTGTATAAATTTCAAGTCCTGAGCTCAAGCAGTAGGGCTCCTGCATTTAATAATTGCCTGCAAATCCCTGGAGGATAACTCACTGGGCAAGGAAAATGTCATTTGCTGTATTCAAAAGGAATCTGAATTTACCACCCACCTCAGTGGGATTTGAGGTTGCAAGGACTGCAGCTGATCAAATTAAATGCTCGTGAAATAACAGCGCAGAGGAGCCTCACGCAGTGACACCACTGAGCTCTGGGTCCTGCAAACTTTATGCACTTTGTGGGCAAGCCCTGCAGTCCGGGGTGAGCTGGAGATCTGACCTGACAGCCAGGTACAGGCACCCGAGGACTAACCAGGCTCAAGCAGTGCAGACCAACAAGAGTAAAGGAGAGGTCCTAGCTCTATCCCAGCTGCAAATCTGGTACCGTGGCTTTGTGAGCTTTGACACACAAGCGGGTCACCATGCATCGGTTGCTCCATGGTCCATCGGCACTTGCTCCACCACCACGCTGCTGTGCTCCTCTTTCACTGAGGGTTAGCAACGAGCCAGACCAAATTTGTTGACTTCACTGTGGTGTTTCACAGAATATGAATATGCACATGGTTGGGGGAGGATCCTCCCATGAACTTTTGATGTTTCAGCCATGCAAGTCTGCACCTGAGCTAATGGAGACGTCTACACTTCCAACAGATCCTGCCCAAGATAACTGGATTGTGTGTCGAAGTCCTGACTGTGGGCATCCTTGCATCTCACTTTGGAGACCTGCAAGGCAAGATCTAGTCATCCAGGCTCTGTCCGTAGGCAAAGCAGGAGAGGGCTCTCCAGATGGCAATTCCACCCAGCTATCATCTTAGGATGGGATGAAGAACAAGCTAAAAGACTTTATCATCCTCCATTAACTAAAGAAGAAGCCTAGACATATATATCCTCTGCTCAAGGGAATGTAAAGTTCAAACCCAAGAACGTGCTGCTGGGAGCATATGTTTTATTGGAAATACCACTCACCACACCTCGGTAGGATGGAGGGATGAATCCACAGTAGATAGGAAGAAAGCAGCTGCAGAGGAGAGCCTGGGGGAGGAGAGGGATTGCAGAAGTAAATGTTCCTGTCAAAGTTCTCCTGGACAAAAGCTGTTGACTGAGTGCCTGGAAATTCAGGCTTGACAAATCGTCTGGAGCCAGGCTGTCGGTACCACCTGGATTTTGCACTTGACTGTGACAAGAAGAAAGGTTTCAAGAAGGGGAAAACATCTCATTTCAATAAAATTGAAGTATTTCTCTTGAGAAGGGCATAGCACTTCATGTTTTATTTTTATAGCTGCCAGCAGTATTAGAGTTGTATGTCTATATATCACTGTCCAAACACTGCCCTTTGACGGTGGCAAGGTGAGGCTTTGGGGTTGTTTTTCATATTTGTGGGGTTTTGGACAAAACCAAGACATCCTCACAATGTGTTTTCATTCTGCTGGGATTTGTCAATGATAAAGCCACTGCTGGGCCGTTTGCAACCATTTTCCACCAATCTCATCAGCTGGGAATGAGCATCCCGGGCTCCTGGGTTGACCTAGGACAGGAACCATCGGGTGAACTCCAACATCTCCATGGACTTGCCATCCTCTACTGTCTCCCTGGGACAAGCAAGCCCACAACCTCATGGTCAGCTCTGTTAGGGTTTTACCCTGGGATTCTTTCCCCAGCAGCTCATTTACTGGTTAATCAGCTGCTTGTTGTCTGGCAGTACAGATGCTTTGTCCAGCTCTTTCCTCCCAGGAAAGTGCTGAGGCAATGAGGAAAATTACGGCCAATGGGACTTGGCCAAGGAGAGACCTGTCCAGAAAGCTGAGAGGTTGTGTTAGCATTAACACAGCTCTTTGCAAAGAGTCATTAGCACTTATTAGAGATGGTCAACATGTCAGCATCAGCTTTTTGAAGCTGGAAACAAACCTTCTGCTTTTTTAGCATGATTTATTCCTGCCTGACTCTGGACCTAACAACATCTTCCTCCTTCCCTCCAAGCACAGAGCTTCCTGACACTCTCCCCAGCTTGGGTAGCAAACAGTGCAGTTAAAGTCATCAACACTTAGGTACCTCCACCCCAAGCAGTAGGTAGAGATCTTCCTACAGCATCAGAGGAAGGTCCCTTTACCTGAATGAGCTCCTCTTTCGAGCTGAACTCAGAGGCCATCACGTTTTGGCCATCCACCACCCGCGTGAGCGAGATGTGCAGCCGCCCCGAAGCCAGCTGGTAGGAGTCCTCTGGTAGCATCTGCTGCAAAACAGTCTTGATATTCGCCAGCAAGCTGCACTTGGGGGAGAGAGGTCCCAGGATGGTTTTCCTGACTTCCGTTGCCATGGCAAAGGAAAATTCCTTTAGGTCATCTGGCACCGAGTGGGGTGGGGGGGAAGATAGAGAGAAAGTCAATATCCCTGCTGCCCTAACAGTTATATATTTAATCCTATTTTTAATACTCCACACAAATAAAGCCTCTTGCAGCCCCCGTGCATGACCCCAGGATGATACTGCTGCTTCAATGGGGGACACTGAGGCAGGACAGAAAGGGGGAGATGACTATTTGATGTCCTCAAAGCACAAGTATTGCTGAACGTGACCCCACTGGTGAAATCTCTGTCTGCACCAGAGATGGGTGCTCAAGGTGTGCCTGGCCAGGGATTAGGGAAAGGCTCCAAAGAGCCCTGGGAAGGGGGACACAGGTGCAGACACCGAGTTATCAGTGCCAATGTGACTTGCCCAACAAAGTTCTGATTTTGCACGTAGGCAGCTCCAGGCTTCACAGGGGAGCTGGGACAGCTCAAAGGTGAGGACGAGGGGCAGACCCCTGCCTCCTCGGCTTAGGGCTTTCCTGCAAGCCAGGGACCCTGGCTCCACCATGATGGGACTCCCTACTCACCTGAGCTCCCCCGCTGGCCCCCCAGCTGCTGTTAATAGTCATGTTAATAGTCATTACATGCATCTGCACATTCCAGAATGTGGATTAAAGGAGCAGAGCTGCAGAGCCCCAGCTGAGGGCTCAGGAGACACTGGGTTTTAAAGGCTGTGCAGTGATGGGGGGAAGAGGGGTGCAACAAACCCCACAGTCAGCCTGAGCCGGGGGAGGGAGCTGAAATGGGGAGCTCTCTTGGGGGAATACCCCACCTTGAGCAGTTAAACTCTTGCAGCAAGAAGCTTATCTGGCTCCCCAATGCTGCAAAGAGCCGTCCTTGTGCCCGGGTGGGCTCCCTGGGACCCTGCACCGGCACGAAGCCATGGGCTTGCCTTAGCACCATGGCTTTGTAGGGGCAAAGGTTTCCAAGCTGTCTTGTGAGATTGCTTTAAAAGCATGGACAGACAGACGGATTAGATGGAGTGTCCCGAAAGCAACTGGAGCAACACAGGTATTAAGAGGGGTTATAAATGTTTGAGCGGATGTTCAGGCCATGTGGCATGATGATTAATGCTCGGTGGGTTCACACAGGGTCCTCAGGGATGCCGAAAGAGCCGGAGGCGCCCCCGGACACAGTCTGGCTGTTCTGTGTCCTGGAAGTGCAGGAAAACCTGGGAAAACTGCCTACAAGCTGCCAGGTAAGAGGTGAGAGCTGACCCCAGCTTTGGGGGCTTTGGCTCTGGATGGGGCTTTGACTCGGGGTGAGCGAGAGGTGACCCTGGCATGCAACGCCATGACTGTCCCCACCTGCACCAGCTTGCTGGTGACAAGCATGTGCCCAGGAGGTGACCTGTGGGGTGGCAGAGGACAGCCTGGCTTGGAGAGCTTGGAGCTCCTCACCCAGCCCGGGTCAGGGCAGGGGCCAGGTACACGACCACAGCCACCCCATGGGACACCCCAGCAGGAGCCAAGCACACCTTGAACCCTCTTTTTGCTCCAGTCCTCCCCAATGTGAATTGGCAGAGTTTGTGCCACATTAATTTTCCTCATTAGAACCCCAGCCAGAGTCATCGCTACTCAAAAGGTCTTTTCTTTCCCCCGGGGAAGATGTTTTGGGTGCAAGATCATCTCAGCACCTCTAAGTGGATGGTGCCTACCACCCCCAGTGAAGCAGAAACCCTGTTTCGGCACTGGTGCCCACAGCAAGAGCAGTTACCAAACTGACTTATACCTGCCGGACAGCCCCAGCTCCATCCAATTACACCAGCATCAGGAATCAGGGAGGAAATTTTTGGGGCCCTTGCTGATTTGCAGAGGAGTTCATCCCCATATGGGCAGAAAGATTCCTTTCTGCTTTGTCTAAATATATTTGCCAAACTTTTGAATTATTTTTAGCTCCAGCAGAGTGGTTCTAGCATCCACCAGAGGTTTCAGGAACTGTGTGTTTCCTCCCTGCTTCCTCCATCATTATTTGGACCCTAAACCCCCCACTCCTCCTAAATGTCCCCATTGCTTGAAGCGGGACGCGGATCAGCCTTCAGAGACTTAAGTCTTGTGTACAATTGTTTACACATGGACACTAATTGGAAATATGACAGACTTGTTATTAGAAGTGGATTCACTGCTCTGAATTAATTCTAGACATAGATGATCTTATTGCTAGGGGGGCCTGTTTCCACATTGTCTGAAGGGGTTCGGAGTAAAACCTCTTTTGCAGCAATAAGAGAAACCCCAGCCCCAGGCTGGAGCGGGGACTGCTGTTCACCCAGGCATGTCCTGCTGACGAGCCCTGGAGCTTTTGCCAAGGGCAAAGGTGCTCCCCTATCTGGGAACGGGAATCTCGCCACATCTTCCCTTGTGCTGGGAAGGTTGAGTGGGATAACCCAAAGCAACACGCAAACAAGGCTATCAGCTCTATAGATACCTATGTGACTGCCACTCGTGTCCCTTCGTAGCTAAGGATGCCAAGGGACCTCATCCCTAGGAGACAAGGGGGCTTTACATGGGCACATCTGCCCACCACAGCTGCATAGGCTTGCTTTGGGACATACCTCAGCATTCCTCAGACCTTGCAGGAGAAGAGAAGGAGATCTGCTCCTTCAGCAGGAGCAGGAAAGTGAGCCAATAAAACACAGATACATCCAGATTTACCTATGAGTATCTACCCGACCATCTGAGAAAACACTCAGACAGTAATAACCAGCTTTTTCTGCTTACACCACCCAAAATGGCTCTAGGCTGGCTGCCAAAATTGGCAACATCTGCAGATCTCTTTTATGCCTTGTGAGTGACACGAGTTACACCAGTATTGCATCCCCACTGGTGCTTTAAGGCATTAGCTCCTCTATTTCTATTTTGAAATTAAAAATTTATGGTACGGAAATCTAGGCAATAATTGTCTTACCGATGCTGACGCCGCACACCACGGCGGCGGCAATGAGCGAGCCGGCGGATGACCCATAGACTTTGCACGCGGACTTGAGGATTTTGGGAGCCAGCTCCAGGAGGGACTGCACCACCCCAACCTGGTACAGGGCAAGAAAGCCACTGCCCGAAAAGGAGAGTGAGAAAGGGGTGCTTGAACCCCGGAGATCCTCCTCAGCCATCTCCAGATCAAATTGACATTATCCGGCTCGATGTCTCGGTTTGTCCTTTTTCACCCGGTGAACTTCAAGATCTCTTCTCTGCTTTCTCCAGGCTCATCTCTGGCTACAGAAGAGTCAGGAAGATGGATTTTCTGCCTCCTTTTATGACAGTGCCCCGAGGCGTTTGGATTCACATGCTATTTTAATTGCTGCCTGTGCTAAAACCAGAATTTTTCTCCTAGTCAAAACAGCTCTTGTAATCTTCAACCACAGCCAGGTCAGATGCTCAGGGCTGAACCAAGGCTCCCTTTTATACCGAGTGATCTAAAGTGCCCTGGGAGCCCCCCAAGAGGTGGTCCCCACCTTACTGTGCCCGTCACGCTTGGAAACATCCATGCAAAATTTCCTCTTTGCTTCGTGCTTTCTTCATCAAGGGTGTTTTCCTAAATAGGATTCTCTGTCAATCCCAGCTTAGGCACAGCTCAGTACTGAATGAGTAAAGGCTTGTGTAAGACACTTAAAGCCAGAGGGTGTTACACAAGGGGTGGATGCAGGGCGCTACATTGGGTTTGGTTTGGAAAGACAGCTTGTACTGGAAGAGTTTGTCCTTGCCTGGCTCCTGGATATCCTTTGAGGGGGGGGAGGGGAACAGGGAGCTGGATTTGCTTTTCTCTTCTCCCCCCTCCAGCACAGTGCTCTACAAGGCCACAGAAGGATGCCTGCAGCAGCACCGCGTTCCCCAAAGCTGGGGTTACTGAACCAAAACCAAACTGCCTTCAGGCTGTCTTTGTTGGCTGGGTGATAGTTAAAAAATAGGGAGAAATTCAGTAGATTTCTAGTGTCTTTTCAGCCTTAATAACCTAATGCTGCTGCCAACATGCAGCATCAAAATTGCCATTTTAAACAGATGCATTTATTAAATATTACTAAATACTGTGTCACTTATGTTGTCCAAATACATATAGCGTGCACACTATATAATGAATATTACGTATGTTACGTTCAAGGTTGTGTGTATGTACATAACATGGGCATGTGTATAACAACAGGGTGAAGGAGAGAGCTCTCGTCGCCCATGTTGGTGCACCAGCCTGGCCAGGACAGTACAAGAAAACAGAGGATGGTCCCAGCATCCTGATAGAACCTTTGCAATGCTGTTTCACCCCAATTTTCATATGTTTTTCCTTGGCCTCTCGGGCCATTGCTGGGTCCCCACAGGGAGAGTTGTGTCCTGTGTGATACTTTGGAGCAGAGACCCCCACCTCAATGAGCAAAATGTGCCCGGGTTGAAGTTTTGCTGGTAGCTGCCCATGAGCAGGTGATCATTGCCTGCAAATCCCCCCAGATAAATGTCACTTGGCATGGCCAAGGCTGTCCTCGATGGCTGCTGCCTGGACTACAGGACAAGCAGGAGTAATTTGTCAGCTCAGAGATATATTGAAACATTATCTGAACTATCCTGGAGGTGAAAAACTGCTTGAATTAGGGCATTCACATGTGACCATGTGCTGCTGTAGATACACAGCCTTGCTGGATTTGGTCTTCTCATTTCTTGTCTTTCCAATGTTTGATATTGTTTTCACATTATCCCCTCGTTGTGTGAGTGTCCCGCATGTTCCAGCCTTTCTACCAGCCTTCTGGTGATATGTGACCGTGGATCTGCATGATTCATGCTGTTATCTCCTCCAGCCACTGGGAAAGCAAATTTCTTCATTTAAAGGACTTTCTTCCAGCACTGGCAAATATCTGCTGGTAGAAGAAGGGCAAAAAGTATCATCCTTCACTGTGACTGATTCAAACACACAAGTGCATTGGAAGCGCATGAGTTTGTGCACGATGGAAGAAATTATTTCCATGTTCTCTGTGCATTAACTCTGCCAATTACGTGCATCAGGCCCCAAGGGAATCCAACAGGCACTGCGTGGAAGAAGCACAGGATGCTTCTGCTTCACTCAGCACTTGCACTCAAGCCCAGCCCCAGCTGCAGAGCTTCAGGAAATGTGTAAATGATCCCATAGGACCTGCAGGAACATGCTACTCCATCCAGTGCGTGGCATGAGGACGGTTTCCTCATAGGAGCTGGACTTGCTACAAAATGTGTTCCAGGAACACCCTGTGAGTACAAACCCCAACCAAGCTGAGCCGGGAGACGTTCTTCCCCCAGGCTCTTCTTCAGGCATCTTGTGATAGCGTCTTCCCTTGCCAGCTGTCCTGAAGTAATGTGTTAAATGGGATTTTCCATTCCAAGAGCCAGATGATGAAGGGCGGTGCAGCAGCCACAAAGAAGCCATTATCCCTGCAGGAAGACAAGTGGCTCCGTGGGGAGGTGCACAGTGAATGCAAGAAGGTCCCTAAGCCCAGCAGACAGCACAGCCCCACGCCAAGGCAGGGCCAGCCCCAGGAGAGGGGCAGGGGCAGGGGAGGCAAGGCAGGACGGACAAGAGGACAAGTGTCCATGTGCAGGGAAGGACAGGAGACGTCTGACCTGGCAAGGGGAGGGCAGCACCCCGAAAGCCAGCAGCTCCCACCTGCGAGGACTTCACAGCATGCTCAGACACCCCGGGCTCCCCTTGGGATCCTCAAAGCCCAAGAAGAGCCGGGCTTTGGGCGCGCACCTTGGGGGTCTGCTGGCTGAGGGGGAAAGCCACATCACAGCATTTCCCCCAAATTGCCCTGTCCTGCAATGAATTACTGGGGGCTTCTCAAGGCGGGGAGCGTGTGTGTGCGCAAAATCTGTCCCGCACCCTCACCCGCTCCAAACACCAAGGCCCCGGGACAGCATCCCAGGGGACAGCATTTTCCCTGGCCCGGTGCCACACTCCTGTGAGATGAAACCTTGTCGTCATCCTCTTAGCGACAGCAAATTTTGCATTAATTGGCTCATTAAGTGCTGGGCTGATTTTCTAAGCCGCCCTCCCCCACCTGGCGCTCGACAAAGCAGGATTAACGGGGACTAATGACTTCAGAGACGTAAGATCCCAGAAGCAGCCTGAGATGCTTTCAGGAGAAGGCCCCCCGGCTCGCATTGAGCACTGGGCGGGCAGGGGGCTGTGCGGGGTGCGGGGCTGCTTTCTGCCCGGGCAGGATCAGTGCCCAGATGGCTGGTGTCCATGATCCCAAGGATTTTCGGGTGAGGCGATTGCTTTAGCTGTTTGAAGCCACGGCAGGGCGTTTAGGGAAGGATGAAGGTAATACCGAGAGCTGGAAACCGATCAAGGCCCCCAGGCTAATAACTTGCCATTCTTTAATACGTTCTTAATATCTTCACTGACCACAGGCAATCAGGGTCTCAATTTTATAATGAAGAGATTAAGCCAAGATGCTGGAGTTGCTTATGAGAAGGCACCTGGGCTCCAGCAGCTGCCAGCCCCAGGGTCCTGCACTAACGGCAGCTGTGGCTGCTCCCATCCTCATCCCACTGCGCCAGGCTGAAGCAGCCTCCCTGCTTTGGGCTGGGTTATTTGGGACCAGGAGGTGCAAAGGGCTGTGCAGGTTTTGCTCCTTGTTTCCCTGGCACCGCTGCTCCAATGGGTGCGGAAAAGTCCAGCGACCACAGAAGGAGGATATTTGGTTCAGCTGCAATATTGGGGAAAGCGCAGGAGAAGGAAAAGGGAGAGAGGAGTTGTTTTTCTCACTGGTGTTTTGCCTGGCAGGCACGTGCCATGTGCCGAGGCAAGACGATGTCCTCCAGGTAGTCAGCGAGGAGACAAAACCCTTTTCTGCTCCATGCAAATCCCAGCCCACACCTGGCACCGCACGAGCTCAGATGCAAAACAAATAGAGGCATCGTGTGATCCTCCTGCCATGTCCCCAACACCAGCTCGCCTGCCCCGCTCACAGCCCCAGCACAGTCCCCCGGGCTCCAGGCAGCGGACGGGAACCTCATGATGGTTTGCAAACAGGCGAGAGCAGTTTCAGTTTCTCCTGCGGTAAAAGTCTCCCAGGTGGGTTCCCAGCCAAAAGGAAATACAGGGCTGGTGCTGTGCTTGTTGCTGGCATTGTCGGGCAGGACCCAGGAGTGGGATTTGATGTTTTTCACAGTCCTAATTACCCTGGGCTAAATTAGACTGAGCCCCTGCAAGGTATCCCCCCTCCTTGGGGCTTTTTGGCAGCCGGTGATTCAACCCTCTATGGCTCTATCAAATATTTCCTTAAAGGCTTCGCAAACAGGGGGATGTTGACCTGCGTGGGGAAGGGCTGCTTCCTTCTTACGAGGACTGCGCTTCCTTGTTTTGTTTCGCTTAGGGCTTTACAGGGACTGAAAAGATCGTGTCCTCCAGGAGAGGAGGGTAAGAGAGCGGTGCTGGGCAGATGCGGGATTGTCACCCCATGCATGGCACTGACCCAGACCCACGGGTTGGTTTCCCACTACCAGCACCTTCAACCCACTAGATCACCCTGCAAGCCCCAAAATTTTGTCCCCTGCACCCCAGGCTGGGTCCAACACTGGCAATGGAGATGCTCCTGCCCATGGCACCACGCTCAGTGCAGCAATCCCCCCCAGCCCCAAGCTGCCTTAATCCATGGCCCTACTTAGGGGTCTGGGCAAAGATTAGCTGGGAACATTCCCAGTGATTAGGGTCTAATCGCTTTGACATTTCGCATCTTCTTAGACCTCGTAGGTGAGACCCTGGCAGCGGTAAATCCCCTCGGTCCTCGAGGGAGTGACAGCAAGGGCAGCTCCTGCGCCACTTGGGAACAAGCTTTACCCAGTTCTTGGTGTCAGATCAAGCTGCTTTGGCTAATAAATCTCCTTCTGCTGGAAAGGGAATGGCTATAAATAGTAAATTATAGCAGGACCGCACCATCTATCTGCTGTAAGACTCCCTTTGTGTCACTTTGCATCTGGCTTGAAAGGAGCAGCCCACAACAGCTGTAGCAAAGCAAACGTTATTCCATGTATAATGTCTGTATGCATCACCCGTTAGACAAGCCTGGCTGTCATTTAGGCACCAATTTATTTGAGTTTTAGGGTTTTTTTCCTGAACTGGATATTGACTGACAGCAGAAGCTACAAAAATTATGTTGTACATTCACAGATACATATAGAAAAGCAGGTCAATAAATACACATGCACGAACACAAACAAACCACGAGGTTCAACACATCACTTGGTGAGTGCTAAAATGCAAATACAGGGTGAAATTTGAGTTTTCTTTGATTTACAGGTTCTTCACCACCAGCCAGGTGGGTTTTAAGTGTTCCATGCTGCTGTGGTTATCACTGTGGTTTTCCTTAGAAGATTTTAAATCCACAGCTCAGAAAATCACTCCACATCCAGGTCACCAGCAGGGACTGTCCCCCCAGCAGTAAATCTGCATCCTTGGCTTCCCAGGCACCGCAGGCCCTTCGGAGCAGCCGACATCAGTCCGGGCTCTCGCAGTTGTCTGTGTTGAACTTTTCTCTGTCCTGCTGGGACAGAAGAAAACATCCGTGAGGTCCTTTCCTAAGCGGAGCTGGTGCTATTGGTCTTCTAGATGGCTTGAGGAGGAAATTCTCCCCGAGGAAAGCTGCGGTTACTTCAGGTTGCAGCAATGCCGTGCACTGCAGGGCATGTCCTGGCTGCGGAGATGCAGCGGGCAGGGAGCAAAGCAAGTCCTGCTCCTTGCGTGTGCATGGGCCACGCTCATGCTGGAGAAAGGCAAAGGCAGCCCAAACAGCACAGGGCAAGATCCAGCACCCGGTCACCCACCCAGTATAAGCTAGCATGATTGCTACCCACCCAGGTCTATCGATCACCCTAAAATTATATCACTTCCCCTAACTTGCTGCTGGAAGCTCAGCCCCAGACTCAGTCCTCATCCCTACCTGGAGAATTTTGCTGTAGGACAAGGGTGCAAAGGAATCTTGCAGGTAGCGGGTGCCGAAGCCCATGATCCTGTTCACTGCCTGGTTGCAGATGCCCGCCACCTTGGCGGTGAGGTGCACTGCGAAAGCAAACTGGATCTCTTGGGGGTTGACGTCGGGTCTGTTGGCTGTCATTTCCTTGTGGACGTAGGCATCGGCCAAGTTCTTGAAGGAGCTGTAGGACATGTCTCTGAAGAACATCTGTAGCTGTGCATCTTTCTTCACCTGGTTAAGAAGCAAGTAAATACACATTTTACAAGCGAATAACTCGGTGTGTCATCCTCATGTTGACGCCTTCACTCCCTGCTAGGACTGCAGTTGAGGGAGGACAGCCAGCCAGCCACGATCACACCCAGCTGAGGAATTAAAAGATGCCATTTCCGTGATTTTACTGAGCGTTTCCCTTCACCAGGGAAATCAGTGGTGTTGCTGTATTTTACAGCAGTACAGAGCTTGGCCCAAATTCCCTCAACCCCATCCAGCTGACCACAGCCCTCCTTCTCACCTGCCTGTCCAGCTCATTTCCCGCACTCTGGATCAGGGCAACAATTCTCCTGATGGCTTCATCTGCAGAGAGAGATCCCACATTATCTCCAGCCCTTTCTCCAAGCCTCACACCCAGATGCTTTGTTTAGTCCCCAGAAAAAATACCCTGAGCAATGTTTATCCACCTCCATCCCTCCAAAACCCATTTCAGCCTATTGCCAAGTGCCTTGTTACCCTCAGCCAGCAAAAACACCGTCCTGCCTTTGAATTTCTCTCTCCCCAAATCAAGCCCTGATGCTGAAAATCTCCCCCAAAGCCTTCATATGACTGTCTGGGTCAAGTTAGCCCCTGTGTCAAGATTGAAGCAGGGTTTGGGTCCTCTGCAGACTCTGCATGGGGACAAGTCTGGTGCACATATGTTTTCTATATGTGCCAGCGATGAAACACTTGTAAGGGCAACACTCACCAACACCATCAGCGCAGGCTGGCTGTGGTGGCTCCCCACATCCACGTGCTCTGCTCCCCTGGCTCTCGCTGCCCTGCACGATCAGCCCGATCTCTTCTGAGACTCGTGCATAGTAACCGTCGGGCTGCTCCACGTCTGCTGGAAAAAAAAAACAAAACAAACACACATATTCAGAAGTGAGGATTTTTTTTTTTTTTTTTGGCCATTGAGTGAAAGGGAAAAGCAGCTGCAGCAGTGACTGCATCCACGTGGTGCTCATGCCCACCCTGGATTAGTGCACACCGCCGGAGAATGATGGGGCTGTGCTCTCTGAACCGTAACTGAGCGGCTGCAACTTGCTCTGAATCCACCAAAGCTTTGCAGAAATCCCCTCGCCGGCTTCTCACAGCAGGAAAAGGGCTGGGGCAGGGTCGGGGGTGTCCCGCGGGCTCTGCCTGCCGTGCCGGCTGCCCACACCCTTCCCCGCAGCAAATCGAAAGCAGGTTAGCGTTGGCCCTAGAGTGGTTTAAGATTTAATCTCAGGTCTTGAATGCAGGTTTAAACTAAACCACTGTGTCCCTTGCTTGCCAGAGGGGGGAAACCTGTGCTTGGGTGGTTACTGCCGAGCAGCTGGCTTGGGGTAACTTGCTGTGCTTACAAGTTGGAGCAATGACCTGTGCTCAAGCCGCAGGCAGAGTCACCTTTTCCTGGGGCAGCAGGTTGAGATTGGGGTCCCCAAAACCTATTACAAACCCCAGAAAGCACTGGGAGGGCGATGCTTAGGTCAGAAACCAGCACTAAACACTATAGCTTTCCCAAAAGAAGCCCAGCGGAGGTCCCGTTGGCAGCAGGGTTGGTTTAGGGTCAGGGTTAGGGGTAGTGGGGGTCCCACCTGGCGTGACCGGCGCGTGGACGTGCCGCAGGGGAAGGCAGCTGGGTCGCTTGGCCCTCGCCCCGGCTGCCTCCTCTCCCTGCTCCTCCTCTGTGTGCTTCTTGAAGGAGAAAACCTTCTTGAGGGTGGGTCTCCTCTTCGGGGCTCTGCCCAGCGGTGGGGACGTGCTTGATTCTCCTCCAGGTCTTTTAGCCCCTTCTGGTTTGGAGCTGTGAGGAGCTTTGGCATCTTTCTCCTTTGCTTTTTGCCCTGTGTTTTCCTTCGGGTCCTCAGGGCTCTTCTTCAGGAGGAAATTTAAGAAACTTTTGAACCAGCTGCGTTGGGTTTTGCCCTGGGAAGAATTTTTTGTGCTTTTCTTCTTGGGCTTTGGCTCCTCTTTAGGGACCTCCCCGGGAGCTTTGCTGTCATCATCCAAAGCCTCATCCAGGTCTGGTGTTTTGGGTCCCTCCTCCTGGTCCTTCTTCGGGCTGAGTCTGGCACATGAATAATTGCAGAAGTCGCTTTTCGACCGTTGCAGCCTGCCTGCCTTCCTCCCTCGCTCTCTGGCTCTCTCCTGACGCCTTTTTTGGGCCACCAACGAGTTTTCGCAGCAGCTCAGCGAGCGCCTGACGTAGATCTCCAGCACTTTCTTAGCCCCTTGCCTGTCCAGTGAGAGGATCTTGCCCGACAGCTGCCTCCCCGCGTCCCACTGAGGCCCCTCCACAGCCAGAGCCTGCATGTTGCTGTGGAGGAAAACAACATTTTCAGCCTGATTTTTGCTTTCCCCAGGATGCTGTGCGGTCAGGTTGGGCATGATGGAAATCACCCCATTCTGGCACCCAAGGGTGCTTTGGGTGTCTGAGACTGTTTATGTTCCTAGTAAATGATCAACCCCTTTTATAGTTGTTATCTGAGTGCTCCTTACACAGACTGCACACGCAGGGTTTTAAGATGGACTATAGACACCACTGATAAAGGAAGAGAAACTGCGGGGAGAGACAAGCTGGACACATCTGAGAGGGAGAGCCTGAGAGAGGGTTTGATCCAGCAAGGGTATCACCCAGATACCATGGTGCTGTATCTTCCTATTGCAACGTATTCCCATACTATGATGAAAAACTACGTGCCAGGACCACCTCTCCCCCAATGAACAGCACAACCCAGGTTTTTGAGCATCTCCCCTTAAAGTATTGGCTGCTAAAAAAAGTCACTCCCCAGCAAGGCCGGGTTCTTCCAGCCCTTGGAGAGTCCAAGGGCAATGTGGGCTCTTGCAAATATTCTCAGTCACTGCCAATATTGACGGCGCACCTTGCTCTCGCCAGCGTAGGGCTGTTAATGGAGCTCGGAGTGCCTGGTCCCTTGCCTTTCCCATCAACCTTTTCCTCCACATTTACAAGTAAAATTAAACAGGAGATGTTACTATTGAAAAAACAGAGCGCCATGCCTGTGCCGCGTGGTGGCTCTACTTCCGAAACCAGTTTCCCCCTTCAGACAACCAGACCCAAACCAGACTTTCTCCACCACTGAGCAGCACACGGGAAGCCAACACCAAAAACCAGCTCGCTTGGCTGTACAAACTGCCCTGGACCCGGGCATCAGCCTCTGCTCAGTCTATATGAGCATCATCAGAACACACAAGCACACCCACCCACCCCAGCTGGGCCTTTTTTTGGATGAAGAAGGCAAGTTTCGTTCACCCAAGCCAATACCAAAGCCATCCGACCACCTGATAATAAATCATTCAACTAGATTTAATCACAGCAAAGCAACAACCCCCATCCTTCTCCAATTGATTCCAGTATGTTAGCCACATCATTCTTTATTTGCTCTTTTGGTATTTACCTTTCCGTCAGTATTTCTGCCCTTCTGGACATATGCCAAGACAAGCTCCTTGGCCACAGGCACTAAGGGTTGTCAGGCTCTCCTGAGAGGTGCCTTTTTTATACCTGCAGCTGACTAAGTTCTATTTTTAGCAGCCACTCAGGTAGGAGAGCGGCCAGTGCTTCCGCCTGGGATCCCCACTATCACCTCCCTCGTGGTGGAAAACCAGCGGGCGTGAGTTTCGCTGGAGGAGGAAACAATTTCCTTATGACAAACAGCAGCAAAACAGCATAAAAATCGCGTGTCACCTGGTGTAAGCACTGGCCTTTGAAACCAGCTATCTAAGCCAACTGTTTGTCTTGTTGGGTTTCTTTTGGTTTTCAATGGGTGTGATGCCATGTGCTTTTCTGGGTTGTTTTTGTAAGGAGAAGTAGTAACTTTCTTAGACAAATGGGGTTTCAATGCAGCAAGCCGATTGCCCCACTCGCATCCCAGGAGCTTCCAGGAAAGTGGATGCTGGGGGTTGTTGCGAGACCACAGGCGCTCTGGGGCACAGTGCTATCCAGTTGTTGCCTAACACCGAGCATGGCTGGGCTGCAGCATCTTTGAAACCCACCCCGGGGGCCTTCAGACAGCCCGCGCACCCACCCTAAAACATGAAACAGGACTGGCTTCGTGACCCAAATCCTTTGCATCCACACACCTCTGACTCAGCCTTGCCCAGGGGCAGAGCATCTCCCAGGGCCAAACCCACACAACATAGATCTACACATCCCAACAATCTGCCCCTTGGCCAAACAAACCCTCAGCCTTTCTTCTTACACCAGAGATCCATTTGGCCCCACAGCCACCCCCCTGCACCCCTGTGCCTGTGGCACCCTCCTGCAGGCTGCTGCCTGCCATCCTCATTGCTATTTTGCCATCTGATGGCAATATTTCACACTGCACCTTGCAGGGACGGTGCTGGATGCGGATGCATTTACTGGGCGGCGGCTGCCGGCACGCTGGCTTTGGAAAACCCCTTGACAAGATTCCCACCTGAGCAGCACTGCATTTTCTCTAGTTTTCAGCTAGGATGATGTGCTGCCCAGGTGCTTCCCAGATAAAAATGGTCTTTTCCTGATAACAGGCTCAGCAATTGAAGCAGTCCAGGATTATTTTCTTACTGTTTCTATGAAGTTTCTGTGCCATAATTTCCTGTAATTGGCAAAGATCGAGTCCAATTCCCTCTGTTTCTCCTGAGCCTACACCAATGAATCAGTCTGGTATTGATTAGGAATTACCTGGCTTGCTTTTTCAGCATCCCCATCTACTTCTGATAAATAATTAAACCATCCCTCAGGAGGTCCATGCTGCTAACCATGAGCATATGACCATGTCCTTTCATAAGCAGGTCGATTTCAGTGGGTGAAAAGGAGTTTCACAATCAATTTTGTTGTTCTTTTAATCTGCAACATCCATAAACCTAAAAGGTACATCCACTCTGGCAATGGGGGACAGTTTGGCCATCTCCAGTTTGGAGGTCTATCTACTGGAGAGCATCCAAGGCTGAGTCCAAACACCATCCTGCTCATGGAGGACTTCTCATGATTAAACTGGGAATCAGCATTGACTTATGGCCTCTTGCAGGCTTTTCCTCTTTGTAGTAACATTTCTGGACACAGTCAGAAGAGGAGCTACCCAAAGTGACTCCAGGAAAAATCTTGACTTGAATTGTGATTCTGGATCCAGACCTTTATCCAAGTTCAGATCCCTTCTGGGATTTGGGACATGCTCAAACCTAATGGGAGAAAGGCATAAGAAAAAGATGTTTGCTAGAGACGTGAGACAAACCAAAAGCCCATTACCAGAGCTGGGGAAAGAGATCTGGATCCAAATTTGTCCGCTTTTCTCATCAATACTGGGAGACAATGAGGAAGCTGGCTGGAAACGTGGTCACATGGAGGGAACGCACAACGCTGAGGTTGGTATCTTCAAGCCAGCAACACTGGAGGGAAAAGCAGAACTAAAAACATGGGGACACAGCAGGGGATAACTGTCTTATTTACAAGAACTTGCTCCAGAAGATGGAAAAAACCAAGGGAGAGGTATGCCCCGTGCAGAGCTGTGAGGTGTGGAGGGTTACAATGAGAAGGCAGGAGTCAAATCATCCATATTTCTTGGGAACAAGACAGACAGGCCACAGGCTGAGACTAAACATCAGGAAAAGCCTCTTCTGCAGGAAGGTGGGACAACCCCAGATGGATGTCAAGAGGTGTGGGGGATCGCCATCCTTGGAGGTCTTGAAGATTTGGCTAGCCAAAGCCACAGCCAATCCAACCGGTCATTGGAGGTAGTTGTGTTTTAAGTGGACCACAAAGGTCCCTTCTCAAGCCAACACCAGCCTCCTGGGCACAAAAATATCTGCAGTTTCATATCCGAACCGTGATTTTGGGGCATTGAGGGCAGCCGCTGCTCCCTGCACCGGCCACGGTTTGGACAAAAGGCACAGGCAACATGTGGCCTTGGTGGAAACCTCTCAGCCTGGTTGTGTAGTGCCTCTGATCCAAGAAGGTGGCGGACACCAGCCCCCAAAGCAGATTCTCTTTTCCTCCAGCCCCGGGACTGATTTTAGCTGCTTCCCTCAGCAGATGAGCAGTGCAAGACAGCAGCGGGCAAGCACAGGCATTTGCTGCTGTGCAACACCCTGCCCCAACCACCACCAGACCTGGGGCTGCTGAAGCATGGATGATGACCTCCAGCGGACAAAGCACCTGCAAACCTTGAGGAAAGCCTGCATGGGGCACCCGCCTGCATGCCACTGCTCCTGGACTTCCGCCAAGGCAAAAGTCACCAACCGCTGCGTGCTCTCCCTCCCCATACACCTGCGCTAAACACACCGGCGCAAGCGGCAGTTACTCGGCTGTTTACTGAAAGGGATGGGTCCCCATTCCGAGAAAGCAGCAGGATTTTTTTTTTACCCTCCAAGATCCCTCTGGGGCCACAGCATGGCACAAAGAAGGTTGAGTGCTTTTGGCAGCTTCCCAACCAGCAGAGGAAACCCCCGTCCAAGTCCAACAGGATCTTTAGTCATCACAGAAAAAAACAGAGGGCATCTCGCACACTCCCTGCGAGCACAGCACAAGTGCCAGGGTCACTGACTGTCACCTGCTCCAACAAAACAAACCACTCAGGCTGGAAATGATGGGATGCTCAGGAGTCATCAGGGCTGTTTCCATGGCAAGAAAATGGGGGGGGGGGGGGGGTGTCTTGTTAGAAGGAGGTCAGAAAAAATGCACCCATGGATGTGTATCCCAAGAGTGACACAAGGCCAGGATGGGACAGTTGCTAAAGAAGGAGGTCTACTTTCCCACCAAAGCTGTCCCTCAGGGCTGGGCAGGACTTACACTGACTCTCTGCTGGATTTCACCCCAAGAAAGATCTGGCTTTAGTCTTCTCTCGGACAAAAAGCACCCTTTGTGGAAGGAAGGATAAGGTCTGGGTGCTTCACTGCCACCTTCCTGGTATGGTGCATCCCCAGGCTGCAGCTCAGCTGGGTGCTGGGTAACCTCCAGCCCCCTCTCCTAGTAGAGATTTCGGCCTCCTTGCCTAGCTAGGACCTCCCAAAGGCCATGACACTATTATGCTCATTTACCCCACTAGAGCTTCTCACTTCCTTCTCCTCCATCACTTGACTTGTCAAGCACTTGCATTTTGCCAACAAGCTGGTGATTTTTTCTGGAAGTGAAACTTCTCAGCCAGCGTTTCCGGAGATGTTGCACCGTTGACGTTTTGCCAACCAGCCACCATGTGTCCCACTAACATCTCTTGCTGGCTACAGCCCACCAACATCTCCAGGCTCCAGTTAATGGGTGTAAAATCGTTCTGGAGGAGCAACACCAGTTACAGCAAATGGGACTGTAGTTTCAGGTTGACAACAACCAGTTTTGGTGGAAACCTCAGTCACCAACCCTTGCCCAAGTTTTTCACAAGACTGACAGTTCCCAGACCCATTCACAGCATTGCTGCCCCAAAAGCAGTGCCAATGCAGCTCTGGTCTTGGGAAAGAGCCCAGCACAAAGAAATAGTCCAGAACAAAGATAGAAGGCAGCAGGATGATTTCTGCAGCAGTGCAAAACTGAGGTTGGAAGAAACTCACCTTTTCCTATCAGCTGTGAAACACAATGCTGCTTCACAACCTGTATCTCTGCTTGTCCACGTAGCCACAAAACACCATGTGTTTGCACCACATTCACCCATCAGCTGCTGAGCAGCTTGGACTCTGTTTGCACTCTGGTTTAGGGGCTGCCAAGCTTGGGGACAGGATCTGGGTGCCCACAGGAGCTGGTTTTAAATGAGGAAGGCTTGGATTTCCCAGTTTCAGACCTTCAACCAGCAAGAAGTGGGATTTTCAGCCTTACACAGTCACAGGATTTTATTTCCTCCATGAAAAGCAATCTGAAAATATTAGTGGATATTTTTGGATTTAAAAAAAAAAAAAAAACCCAAAACACAAACCAAAACACACACATTGTTCTTTCCAGGTCACTAACAGTGCCTGGGGTTGCAGGTATTCCTGCTTCGGACTCAAAGCAAATAACCATGTCTGACAACGAGTGTGGTTGTATTCACTGCTGGCTTTGTTTCTTTTCACACTAGTCAGCTCATTACAAAAAGCATTACATGGAGGGAAAGGAGTTAAAATGATACCCAGCTTAGGGCATCTGTGCAGCCTGGAGCTCCAGCCAGGCCTGATCCAGGCAGATATTTCAGCACACTCCCACCAATAATCACAGGAGGAACCCCACAGGAGACAGTGAGATTACACGTACAGCATATCTGCAATATGAGTCCATTCTCCAGTTGGGGAAATGGCTCAGATTCAGAGCAGCGTGTTCACACTTAGGGCCGCTGCTCTCTACAAAAGCACTTTGGTAGATGTTTGACCAGAAGCACGTGCTCTGGTGCTCTCTGCTCAGCACGTCTTGCTGTAAGAACGGAGCAGTTCATACCAGCCAGTTTAAACCCTTAAAGATAAGCATCAAAATTTACAGAGCAAAAATATCACATTCCTTCCCAGCAGACAGAAGAGGAAGCGAGAAGACGACCAGCCCACACATTCACCTGTGCTTTTGGGGCTGGGGGACAGTTTCTGGGTGTGTTTTGCTAATGAAGCCCCAGAGACGTCACAGCTTTGGCTCAGGGCAGGTTTTGAAATCCAGGACCAGCTCTGTGGCCTTCCGTCCAGGAAGTGCAAGAGACACCAGCACTTCCCAGCGGAGCACAAGTCTGTCTGCAATGCACTGCAAGTGCCACCTCCAAAGATTTCCTACGGTGAAGCCTCCAGTGGGTCTTCTTTCAAATCCTCATGGTCCTCATTCTCCAGCTGCTCCAGTTTGCTGGATTTCTCATGGATGATCTCCCCAGGAGTCTTCAAAAACCTGCAATACATTTTTTCCATGGCTTTAAGTGCATGTCCAAACCCAGCCCCAAACCAGGCTGTAAATGCTGGAGCCCTTGCCCTCCTCAGCTGAGCTCTGGAGCTCACCAGAAGGTATCTGCCATCCCTGGGCCTTGCTGAGGATCCCAGTTCTTGCTTTGCACCCAGGCTGCACTGAGCCTGCGGAGACAAAGCTCAGCACTCATCAGCCCGGAGCCGGCATTTTAAGTCCAAACTAGTCCCAGGGAAGCAGCCAGCACTGGAAACAGGAGGCTTCTGACTTATTTCAACCCCTTCCTCTGTCCAGAGATGGACTTCAGACCTTATGTCACTGGTGAACAGAGAGACCTGTCCAGCTGCCGTGGGCGCGGGGGCATTTCCTCCAGCACCAGCTAGGCTCCATGCAGGAGGTAGATGCTGGCCCCGGGGCTGGTTGCTGGCCTGCAGCCCTGAAAAGTGCATCAGATGGGACCCGGAGCCCAGGCAGCCCAGCTCCCAGCTTGCACAGGACAGAGCCTGGACACAAGCCCATTGTTGTATTTGCAGGGGAGGATCTTGCTGGATGAAGCAGCTGCCAACATCTGGAGCCCACCACCTTCCCATGCCCCATCTGCACTGTCCCAGGCAGCCCATTTCTCTGATCTGCTTCATCTCACCTGAACAACAGCTTCTGCCCTGGCTCCTTTTTGATGATGTTGAGTTTGTAGTAATGTCTGAGCGCTCGTGACATCTTCTCGTATGTCATGTTCATCCGGTTCTGGAAAGAGAAAAGAATTGGGAGGGTTTGAGCAAAAGCAAGCACCAACACCTGGTTTGGGTCTGTCTGCAGCAGGACCATGTGCGGGACATTCGAGGTGGTTCTTGGGCATTGCAGGCTGCAGTGCGGGTCTCTAACCCATACTTGCTTCTGGGTCCACAGCCATCATGGTTTGCTTTCCAGGGGATGAGAAAGCCTCCCTCATTAATCACCAGGAGGCTGGCATCTCTCAGTAGCTCCGCGCCCACTCTGCCTCACCCTTCCCAGTCCCTGCACATCAGCTCTAGGGAACAGGTCATGAAGGCAACATGCAGAAGCCCAGGAATGACAAATTTGTTCTCAACCGCATTTACCTTGTGGTTCCCCCAGAGCTGGGCAAGTCCATTTGGGTTAACGACCCGGAAGACCTTGGCTTCCTTGTCTTCCCACTTGATGTAAGGCTTGTAGCGGCTGTCGGAGAGGAGGTGGTACACATAATCCCACAGCAACCTGCAGTCTGAGCGTTGGTGGAGAATAAATAGTCACAGAGCTCCTGATAAGGGACCCATGCTCCAGTGAGGGTCAATCAGTGACAGGATCGCACATGTTAGCAATAATAATAAATATAAGAGCCCAGAGCTCCTGCACAGCACTTTTATCGCTAGATCTCCAAACACTAGCAGGAACTACAGTTTTTCACGTGGGGAAACTGAGTTGATGAAGCACACACTGATGCATGGAGTAAACGGAAGGGAGACAGATGGGCAGACAGGACAAAGCACAATCTCATTTCCCCAAGGAACCAGGCTATAAATTCACATTTACCTGCAATTTTCCCATCCACTGGGGTTGTAGGAAAAGAGCAGACAGCATCTGCCCTGCAGCTGCTCTCCAAGCTGTGGTGGGAGAGGTTCAGCGGCTCTGCGTGGCTGCAGGACACAGGCTGCTCTGCACAACCCAGGCAGGAGGAAACAGCAGCTGGGGCAGCCTCAGCACTACAGTCTGTCCCTACAAAACAAAACAAAACAAAAACAAACCACACCACACAAAAAAAACCCCAAACAACCCTATGGTACATTATCACAGGTCCCAGGAGATCTTCCAGAGCCCTGAAACAGGTAGGGAGGGACAGCCCAGGTTGGCTATCAGCCCAGTACAGAGGAGGCAGGGGCTGAGGAGAGCCTGGGATTTTCTTAAGGCAGGAGCAGCAGAAGGTCCAGGGGGGTGAGAGGAGATGTGAAGTAGGGTGAGGGTCAGATACAAAAGAAGTGGAATAGGAGAATACACCAGAGTACAGGCACTCCCTTGTGAACTGCTGTAGAGGCTTAAGATGTTCTTCACCCTGCACCTGAGCCAGCAGAAGAGCTCAGGAGAGCACTCCCAGATCCACCTCAGTGCAAAGCCAGCCACTGACACCAACCTACCCACAGCCTAACTCCTACCTAGGCCCCTCGAGGGCATTAATGAGCCTCACTGGCCCTGACCAGCCTCACCTGGGGCCTCTCCCCACTCCACCCATTGGCCCAGAAGCTCTGTTTAAGCTCGGCCCTGGTTTCTCAGTCCTTTCCCAGCTATGCTGCAGGAGGACTAGTCTCCAGCTATGGCTGTGCCTCTGCCTGGCTATTAACCATCCCTGATCCAGCTCTCAATCTGCAGATAGACTTCCTAGTAGTGTAGCCACAGCCTTGCCTGGTCACTATGGACCCACCTGGTGCTGTCTAGCTCTGATTCTGACCAGACCTGCTTCATTGCTACAAGCTTCCTTGATGACCTAGACTTTGCTGGACCTGGCTGCCATCTCCAGGACTATCCTGCTTGCCTTGCTCGGTAGTGTGGGATGGGTTCAGCTGGCTGAGCTTCAAACCCCAGATGTGTGCAACCCAGTGTAGCTGAGGGCAGGCTCTGCTTGATGGACAGTTGCCATTCTCCACCATACCTTCCTCAGTGCTCCTGGCTTCCCTGAAGGTTGAGTTCAGCAAAGGGCTGCACACCAGAGCTCTTCTTTGGGTTTTAATGTACCGAAGTATTTCGTATAACACATCACCTGCAGGGGAGGAAAGTCTGCTCAGATGACTTTGTATTATAGTCTCCCTCAGTTGATGTTGTTGCTTAGATTTCTGTGCTACAGAGTAAGAGGCTATTCCCCATCCCAAAGCGTTTGCAGTCCAGATGGACTAAAGGAAAGAAGAGGGTTATCCTTGTCTCCAGCACCCAACTGGCCAGAGCTAAAGCCTGGTCTGCTGGGACCCATCCAGCCCCTCTCAGCAGACCACAGTGTGTGCTGTACTTGGATGGTCCTCAGAAACACCCTTGCGCTTGGTCTAACCTGAGCTCGGAGCTCGGTATCTGAAGTCATCCTTGGTGAGGATGCACAGGGCTTTGCCGTTCATTTCAAACTTGCTTTCGTCGGTTTGCCGAAGGGAATACTCTTTCTCAGCCCATCTTAGCCAGTGGATCACGTCATCCTTGCTCCACAGTGAGGGCTGGATTCCTGAAACCAGGGGCAGCCTCTGAAACAACTCAGTCTCCATCTTCAAAACTGCTGAGGGGCAGGGTGGGGTACTAGTCTTTTCCATCACCGGACTTTCCCTCTATATTAAACACTCACAGGCCAAAAATGGCCCAAAGAGAGAAAATAAACCCTGATGACTGGTCCATCTTGTCCCCCTTGACAGCAGGGAATGGTCCCTGGGTGGGACACCATGGCTGTACCCACCATGTCCCACCCTGTGGGAACTCCTTTTTTAAGCAGTGTTGACTTGCTCAACATCTACTCACTCAGGCTGCCTGGAAGCTTGAAGATCTCCCCCTCACTGATGGGTCTGTGTCTGGCCTGGGATGGGGGTGGTAACGAAGCTGTGGCAATGGGGCTGGAAGAGCTGACTGCCACTTTACCCTGGGGAAAAGAGATCAAACACATCAGTGGGGGAAAATTCCCAGCTTTGGTACTGCCTTTGCTTTAGAGATGCCTCCACTGCAGTAAACACTGCTCAAATATTTTCTAACTGGTTTCTCATAGCTAGCAGCATGATGTGTTGTCTGCAGCTCTTCCACACTGGATCCTCGGTCCTTTACCAGCCCCAGGATGAATCTCTGGTTGCCCAAGACAGTGTTAGTAGCCAGAGATCTCCAGCTCTTTTCTTTAGCAGAGGTGCCTGCCCTCATCTAGGCTCTGGATGTGGGTTATCCATCCCCACTGCCCCATGGCTGCAGGGAAGTAGGAGATGGAGCCAAGACCGGCAGAGCCTGCTGTGCCCGTGCTGGCTCCTGCTTCCTGCGGGATCCTCAGGTGCTCATTGGATGCCCAGGGTTTTAGGACAGTACTTCAATTCTTTAGAGTTGTGAAAATACAGATGGCAATAATGCTTAGATTTTGTCTTAAAAACACTGTATGAAGAGATCTCTAACGTCTTCCCCAGTGATCATTTGGGTGTACGTGGAAATAGCCGTCCCACTGTTTAGAGACATCCTCTCATCTTGCTCTCCTCCCATTAAGTCCCAGCCTCTCAAGAATTACTCCCTGCTCTCAGTTGCTCATTAAGGACCCCCTCCAGCCTCACCGAATGGGTGGGATGGTCAGTGCTGGGAGGAGAGGCAGCCCCAGCACCTCCGCTGGGCTGGGGGATCAGCACCGTCCCCGCTCTGCCTCCAGGCTCCCATCCGGAGCGCGTGAGCCAGAAGGGAGCTCAGCTCCTGCTTTCAGCCCCATCTAGATCTTGAAATATTACTGGCAGCCAAGCAGATAATGTTTCCCCTTAAAAAACTATTAACGTGAATCCCAGCAATTTCTGAGCTTCATTCTCTGGAAAATTAACAATTTTGCCTACAAACTGTATTTTCCGAAGTGGTTGCCAACTCTGGGTAATTCAATGCGCCCTCAGGCAGATTTTTGGAGGTGGTTAGAGCAGCCAGTGCTCCTCAGCTGTGTGTGGCGGTAGAGGAGCTGAGCCCCCCTGAAAATCAGGGGTGAAGAAAAAAATCACAGTGTGCGCTGACAGAGCAGATGGTTGGACGCATCTTAAATGCTGGCAGCACCCCAATACTGGGAGACAGGAGCAAAGCGCTCCATCCCTCCTGGGGAAAATGCTTCCCCAGGAAGATTACAGGGGAGTTACAGCAGGAGAAAGGCAGCAGTTTGGTGATGGGTGATGGGTGAGGGGTTTTCCTCACCAGAAGGATGAGTATTAGCAATTTGTCTGGTAGTGGTGGAATCGTTGCTGGCTGTCTCAGGGTTGTTGATTTTAGCAAAGCAAGCAGCTGCATGATATCTTATGAGGAAACCCGAAAAACTCCAGTATAAACAGTGAACAGGCTTGATAGCAATGCAAACTCTGTTTCAGATTCATTCTAAGCAATAAACGATGGGAAAAATAAAAGTGAAAGAAGTTAGCGGTGTATTTTTTTTCTAGAACTCCTCTAAAAAGTTATTTTAGTTTTCTCCCATCGGTGTGACTCTCTTACGATGATACTTACAGTAAAAACAGACCAAATGTGTGATATTTTTCTTGCTCCTAAAGATTTCTAGGGCATGAGAGATGCATTTGTAATTTTTATTACTTTGTACTGATTTTATGTTCTTGCCTTTTTTTTTTTCCTGCTTAGCTGCTTTCACACAAATCTGAGCTGGCATTTCCTTGCTTCAAGAGGAAATATTGTCCTTGGAGGGGTTCGAGTGGGAAAGCGAGAAAAAGGGGGTGAAAACAAAACCCCAGGTGTGCGAGAGCAGCTTTCGGCTCAGTCCCAAATGGGGGGGACGGAGCCCCCCGGCTGCTCCGGACCCCGTGAGGCCGTTTAGGAGCGGATGGGGTGGGGCTGTCGCCCCCCCGGGCATCAACTTCCAGCCCCTAATTGGGAG